GGAAATGTGATTAATGAAAGACAATATTCTAATAAGCTGAGAATTAAAGTCTATCACTAATTCATTCGTGAAATCTTTGTATCCATAATTTTGTTACGCCAATGCCTACGGCATTAAGTCCACCTAGGCATTGTATGTGTGCAAATTGATAAAGTTAAAGAAGGTGGTAAAAGTCAGAAATTTATATTATTTAAACGTGGGAAAGCTATATCTGGAGCTCCTAATATTAAAGGTACATGTCAATGAAGATTAAAACAAGTAAAGTTAGTTAAAACACTCTGATTTGTTATAAAACTGAAAACTACGATTGAGGGGATCTATAATTGTATATTCTGTTGATTTACGTATAAATAAATAAACAATCAAATTATAATCGCATTACAGTCTGCTTGAAGGCATTAGGCAGAGCTACAAACTTTTAACTCGTCGAGTACCGGTTTTATAGACACAATTAAAGAACAATAGGTCGCGGTCACCGGTGACCGCTTGGTATTTGACAGTTTAATTAGGATTAAATACAGCATGTCCATGGTGTTATTTAACTTTTAATCTAAAGTATATTGTAATATAGCGGTAAATGTATTGTATATTTGCATACGATTACGATAAGCACAAGCTATCGTAATCGTAGTCGTTACGTAAACTACAAAACTCTACTCCAGTACTCCCTCCCACGTACTCTACAAACTCTACGCAATCTTCGAAAACGTAGATCGCACTGTCTATATTGAACAAACCAACATTCACACTTAAAGCACATAAATTCATATATAGTAGTTATTACTTTGAAAAATCTATAGTGCAGAGTGTTTGTCCAATTGTCAAACCACAACAACAAAATCACGGTCTCCTGAAAGTGATTGATTTACAAAATGTTTGAGTACATTGTTTCTTTTCTTTTCTTTTGAACACATAAAAAATAAAATCGCTAAGGTAGAAATAACTATTTGATAACCTACGCGCTACGCGATAAATCACAACTCTACGTAGTAAATCGAAACTTTGACCTCGAATTTAAACAAGAACTCTAAAAATGAATTATGTTGAAAATAAAAAAAAAACAATCAATTAATTGTAAAATTATCGATCGCATACCATACGTCGTCGTAAGTTTACATTATTATACTTTAATTTTCATTAAAGCTCTAAACTAAATGAATGAATCGTTTTGTAAATAAATAATATTAGATTGACGTTAAAAAGGCTTCTAAGTTAGTATCTAAGCAACGCTCCGCCCAGCTCTAGATGGCGGCCAATAGCGCGCGGTGGGCGGGGCGCACCGCTACGAGAAATCTAAGCCTCGTACATTTAGTTAATCTCAGTTTAGGCACAAATCACATTACTGAGTATTTACCAGTAAATAGTTCGCCCGGGAACCTGTAGCCAACCCGATACCCCATCCTCAGAAGCAGACCGGTCTACGCAACTAACTATTGCAATTCTTAATGCACGGGTTTTAATGTCACATAGGGAGCAACCGCTTATTTGTAGGCATTAATACTTAAAAGCCATTTTTCAGTGCATCCTCTGCGCCGTCAACGTAAGCGCAACCAACAATTAAGTGCTGCATGCGAGGATGCGACGCGAGCCACCTGTCAAGTGCCTGTTTCATCAAATCATTTCTTTATTGCTCAGCCTCCGTCCGACCTCTTTTTTGTTAGCAGAGTTTTGAAAAAAATACGTTATTGTGGAAGAGCAGTCGGGTAGGTCGGGGCGCGCGAGCCTTATTTCAGTCAGGTGCCAGGCGCCAAACGCGACGCACCGTGCCAGACAGTGACGTTGTCCGGTCCTACGCAGCCTTACGATTTTCGCGACGTCATATCGTTCGCTGCATTTATATAATTTTATTTCATTATTCTTAGTTTAATAAAATGACTTTGCATGTATGGTGTAAATTGGACTGATTGAAAAATATTTGCCGCGTAGAACATCAGTGTTTCGTAGCAGTGAGTGAAATAGATTTTCGTAGCACCTTACGAGTTCCTTTTGAGGTAAGTTTGGATATTATTCGTAATTATTTATCTCGATTAAATGAGTTAAGATATTTAACAAAATGAATATAAAATATTTTTGCCTAATTTAGTAGTGATTTATGAATTATTACCGTGCTATAAAGATGACTATTTATAAGGTTTGAATACATTCGTAGCCAGCATTAATTGTATAATTGTAGCCTATATTTTTGGATTGTTTCTGTCATAGTTGTTAGATATCCAATCAAATATAATTGTAAATCTTACAGTATTAAAAAATGACAAATTTACATGTAGATTCCTAGCAATTTATATGTAGATACAAAGGCGTAGCGGCGTAGCAGACTAATACCATCTAGAATGCAATCATAATTTCTTCTCAGCTCAATTAATAAATCAATAACATTAACTCTTTATAGAACACAAAAGCAAAAACAGGTTAAATGTAGTATCTATAAAAAAAAAAAAATCTAAATTGAACTGAAAATAATTGAAATCATGCGCAACTGACGGAAGCGAGGCCTGCATAAAAGTCCTACTTTTCATACATATATTTGCTCACGTCTATGTTTGTTTAATCAATTTACCTTCTGTATACGTAGTCGCTAAACCATACATCTGGTGGATGCAGTGCCATGCAAATAATCTGCAAGTATATTCTCATAGCAGTGAACAAACAAGACGAAATAAATTTGTACATGTGTTCCAATATGTTTAATATGTACCTAGAAGTATTGAACAAGAACGGACGGATAAACCACGGACGGAGAAATATTTTCAGTATACGACTGACTCGGTTCTTGTTCGAATGAGGCTTAATATTTTGAATTAACAGCTTGTCTTTTTATTTTAAAGTACTGATGATGTGTAAGTGAAACTAACTTGCCTATAAATATTGAACAATACATTTAAAATATAATATAAAATGTGCAAACATTATTTTACTGGTATCAGATCACATAGTCACTTTAACACTCGTTTTAATTATACGAGAACAACGCAATTTACTTTGCAGCCTGCACCGTGATACCGGAACCACGAATATCGATGAAATAATTAGTTTTCAGTCAGCAGTATCGGCTGCCTGCCTTTGTATACTAATATTAAGTGCAGCACTCAACGTGTGGGTTTAAATGTAATTAGTTAATGTGTTGTAGTCTACTTTGTTCAACCTAACATTGATTGACATTGATGACCAGATATTTATAGAAATCTGTTCAAATAGTAGGCCGAATTTTGATTAAATCTTTTTCAAAAACACCTGTTCCTATCAAACGCGGTAACATAAGGCGGCAGCGCTTTGTAACTCACACGCAGGTGTCTTTATTATAAGATTCACTAGAAACAATAGACGTGAACAAATAAAGAAAACATAAATGTATTTTTTTCATGACGATTTTTGCGCTGATTGATTTTCTTAACATTTGCTCGAGTTCCCACTGTACCGCAAGGAAAAAAATAGGTGGTAGTCGTCGCGTGGTTGGTAATTGCTACTCACAAGCTAATAAATAAAGCTCGGCTTTATTGAAACAAGAAATTGCGACACACAACCCTCGCGTTAGTCAGCTTGTTACTCAATTAGCAGTAATAGCACAAATCAAATGGTTTGCATTTGTAAGACAAGAACATTAAACTGCCCCTCCGTGGCTATCGTGGGTGTGATCGATATCTATACGAATACTACACGTTAATGATTCTCTATGGGCATTATTGTAATTAGGAAATTTCGCATATCATTGTCCGGAATCATTATTTATAATTTACGAGGACAAATGTAATGTCTCCGCCTACAGTACAGCGGCAGCGGCGAGTTCTTCGAGTTTAATTCCTAATGGAAGCGCGGTGGCATGGCATGGGAACACGCGGACATCCATTCTGTAAATATGTAATGTGTGTTAGTCTAATGAAGATTGTTTTACTCGACACGTGCATTATTAATGCGCGTACGCAGCGGGCGCCGCGGCCCGCTCGCTCCGCCGACCACTTCCATTATTCTGATTCTTCATTTGCTTGATTGAGCTTTTAATACGATTCGCTGTCAACAAACAAGCGGTCGGATTAATCAGCAAGGGCCGTCAACAAATACGTATGTACGTAGTCGGATGGACACTAATGACGTCGGTCACGTAAAACAAAGATGATATCGCAACTTTTGAATTGATCCGCGCTGACCGTAAAATCTTGATAAACGCAGTACTTACCCTCATATTGAGTTGTCTTCATGAACAAGGCGTCTGACAATGACGTTATCGTTTAGAAAATGTGGATTAATGTAATATTTATTTAAGTAAGACAATAAATAACATATTAATAGTCTAACGCTAAGTCTTAATCGTCTACGTATAGGTACGAACACGTCTAGATGTAATGCCTATTTTTAGAGATTTAGTGCGTGTCCTTGGAAAAAATCTAGATGCCATTGACTTTAAACACAGCATCGTTCAGAAGCGAGTAATCCTTGTGATATCCAGTTTTTCCTTAACGGGTTTTAAGCTTTTTATGAATGAATAATTGTGTCATTTTAAAAATAAAATAATCATTCAACAATTTATAATGCAGTTTATTACACAGTTGTATGGGTACCTATAGCTCTTCAGAAAACTAAAGATTCCCACGGGAAAGCAGAATGTGCCCTGCGATCGATCGATAACACTGTAATACTCAATGACAATCCAAAGCTCAGGTTGTTTGCTTTAATTGGATGCAAAATGAAAGTTACAGTTGTGCTGAAGGTGTTAATTGTCAACGAATCTTTACTATCTATAACATATTGTATATTAATACTTCGTGAAAACCAAATCCATTCGCTTATAGGTATGGTACTTTTTATGTTGTGGATGTTACTTTCCTAAGAAACTCGTGGAGTTTATTTGGAATACGCCGTATAAATCTAAGTAAAGTCATTTTTCTGGCTTCATTTAAGAACTAAATCTTTGTATAAGACATGTAACTCGGTGTGTAGCTAATCTCAGGATTAGTTTTTCGTAGATATGTAGGCACTTATTTGTAAATATTTACCTATAGAGGATGTCTCGGCACGTCCTGCTGTCGCGGCTGGCAGAGCAGTTCCAGCCGTCCTCGCCGCCACCACCAGCTCACCGGTTCCCGTCTCCGGAGGGCAGCATCTCCCCTCGGACACCACCGTCTCCACATTCACCCCCGCGCTCTCCTGACTCTCTCTCACATCATCGACTAGATTTACTTCAGTTAGGTGATATAGAGATTGCAGGGAGAGCACTTAAACAATACGCTAGAGCCACGGGTAAGCAACTGCAGATTAGTTATAATTAAAGTACTTAAGTATTTGTTCATTGATTCTTGTTTTACTAGTTAGTGTTTTGCCAACAGAGTTGGGAGCCCTGATGTATTGCAGTGGTCTCGGAGCGCTGTACAGCGGTGCTGGTGTCTGGCCTCTCTTGATGCCGCGCGCCTCACCACCATTCGTGCGTCCACCCATTGACCACGCTAGACATACACCGCCCAGAGATGGTAAATAACATTTAATAACCACTTGTACTTTTAAAAGTATTGATAAAAAAATTAGTTAAACAATGTTATAAAAGCTTACGGGATCAATACATTCACTTTCAACAAGCTTTATTATTTATAAAGCCTGCAAAAATTTGCACTAAACTGTGCTTAGCTAAGCTTTAAGTTTTCTACTAAACGCCTGACCAAAAAGTAATAACTTGCATAATAAAATACAGTATCTCGTTGTCATATTCACTTTTATTATTACACGTACGTGTTAATAAATTGTATAAGTTTTTTTTTTAATCGACTGTGAGTCAGAGTTAGCCCAGTTTTATTCTAGAACAATGTGTCTGAGTGTCTGTACATGCAGTTGTCAGTAGATAACAAGTACTTCACGCATGTACTTATATATTTGTTTGTATGTTCATAAGTCACTAGCATTTCATTGTAATTCATATTCAGTCAATACTGACCTAGATATTTGCAATTACTATAAATGAAACGACCGCTTAAATCAAAGTCTGGCGAATTAATGTTTGTTTAATACAGTATGGCGCATGTCGTCACATTCGAATTCATATAAACAGAGTAAATCAGCTCGCACTGAAAGTGTTTACGTGTTTCAAGAATCCTAAAAATGGTAATTAGATACGTTCGCGGCATTACAAAACATCGTTCGCCTCGGCCTCCTTACGCGGCTTCTCCTGAATAATACTCATTAGAATAGCTATCAGTGTAAGGCACCGATTAATAACTCGGGCCGCTGATATGTCGTCGTTTACATGTCGTTTACCTCCGCCAATGGAAGCAGTGGCAGCCGCGCTTCGTATATCCTACACTCCAAGGATAAGCGGCTAAGTACCGCAGCTACTCATTGTCGCCAAACGAAAATGTTAAGTATTCTAATTGTTTCTTATCCGTGTAAACCGGTTACGACTCAACCTCGCCGATAACAAATAAACCGGGCGTTAGTACTTGATTTTTATTTAGTAACTCGACACCAATGTTTCAAACAGCTACACTAAGTTTAATTGCTTCCGATAATGACAATTATTTTTAAAGATTTAATTAAGAACAATGAAAATGTTGACTGCTATCAATTTTTAAAGCAATTTAAGCGTCAATGTGTTGTTTTGAAACACGAATTGTATTCAAATTAATTCTATAGTAGAAAGTGAAATAACGAGGTGAATATTTGCAGCTGAAAACTTCAAAACGATAATAATATTGAATTTAAAGTAACCTTTATTACTTAGCATTGATAAGTAGTTAGAATTTACTTTTGTATGTATCACATCACTGAATCTAACTGCTGTCGTGAGTGATGTAGGTATAAAAGAATATGGTGTATGGTTAAACATTTACTTTTCTATTTTGAGTTAATTATGAATCCACTCAGAACACACAAAACGAAACATAAAGCAATGCTTCTAAAAAACTTGTATATAATACTTGTATGTACAGTATATCTGCAACACATGTGCTTAATTTATTTTCAAGAACATTTCAATAACAAACCGTGTTCGAGGTAGTTTATATAATTTCATCTTCCGTGAATGTAGACGAGAGTAAACTGTATGCAAGTTCTTAATGTATTATAGAGCAAATAATGACGTAACGGTCGGTAAATACAGGCACACCTGTACAGATTTCATAAGTCACTCTAAAGACGACCGATTTGACTCGTCCGACTTTAAATTTACTTATAAAAGCGTGAAGAACAGTCGAAGTGAAACTGTCTACACTCAGCATTCTATTGACACAGTATTACATATTATAATCATACATTTCCTATCCTTCAAGCATCTTGTTACAATTTCTCATTCTTTTCAGATGACGAGGAAGAACTTCCTCTCAATTTATCGACAAAAAATCGCCAAATATGGTCACCAGGAAGCGCATGTGAGCGCGAAAAAGTGGAAGTTGGAGAAGAATCCCCAATTTCTCGATGGGACGGACATGATGACATTGACACACCTCTCGAACTAGTCAAGAGGTGCCGCAGCAACCCTGACGAAGCTGAGCGTCCTCCGAGCACAGAGCCGCGACGATGCCCCTCAGCACCCGCGCATCAAACCTACCCAATCAAACCTTCACCAACCGGAGATCTCAATTTCTCTCTACTCCTCAAAAATGAAAACAGAAATGAAAAATCATTCCAAGTAAGTGTTTAAAAATCAATAGCATAAAATTGAATGCGCAACCGCAGCTTCAAGATAGATACTTACCTATATCCCTTAACAAGTTCAGAATAACTGTACAGTTTCCGTTCAAAATGCTTTAAAATAGCAAACCAGTATCAGTTTTAGTCTCTTTAACAAATCAAATAGCAAAAACTGCCCCTGTCTTAATAAGTAGTCGCGTATCGGAACGAGTCGCGCGATGCGCCGGCGCAGGCGCGTCGTCCGCCAGCGACTCACATGAAGCCTGCTTGCTCGTCTTCTCGCCATTTTTGTGCCTTTCGTTTTTTCTACGTGCCGCCGTTATAAAAATCCGCATCGGTTTTAATCAAAATTCCAACTTTTAATATCACGGCGCGGCAGTTTATAATTGGACGAATAATTACCTTGTGTCATACGACGATAAATATGTTGTCGAGCCACTTCACGAAGCCACACTTTATCATTTAAATAAAGTGTTGAGCGTTTGTTAGGTATCATCGATGACGATCCGTGGCCAATTGAATGTGACACGACTACTACCTGTATCGCTGGAGAGGGACAGAGATGATAAGACTTTAAGTTTGTTTAACTAATTGCGATGCAATGGTATTCATATTGTTATCATTCGAGGCAATTAATAAATATTCATATTTTCTCCTTACGAAAAAAGTACAGGCCATTTATGTGATTGTCTGTATTGTATTGATTAATTGCTAATAATTAGTCATTTATGGCGAAGCAATAAATAGTAATTATGATCACATTAAATATGTGGACGTTGTAAAACAATGGCGGGCGGCGGGAGCTCATTGCTTCGACGGCGCGGGCGGCGCGTGCGAGCCACGCGCCACTCACGCGTTGTCGCTTGCTTCACAACAACTTAAAACTGAAACGACTAAACGCTTAATGATAATCAAATAGACATAAAATTATACTTATCAAGGCATAAAATTAAAGTATATAATTGAAAAGTAAAGTTAACTAATATAAAGGTTACTTTAAAGTTAACATTGTTTACTTACTTAGTACACACTCTCTGTAGGATATTTAGGTATATGCTATCATTAATTCTTAAATGTTTAGGAAATAGTTGTAAGTATGCCTACCTATACAGGGAGCAGTAATTAACTAGACTAATCACTTTGAGTATAGCGTACCTACCAACTTATTTTTTAATTGCACTTACAGTGTGCTAACCTATTAGCTACATACTATACATATGTCATACTTAAAGTTCTTTGGGTATAACAATATAACCAAATCAATATACCTACTTAGATACAAAACAATATTCGTATAGTTTCAAATAGGTACGTTATGATTACTTAAATATCGCCTACACTACAGTTTTCAGTATCTATCAATTGCAAAAGCATTGCTCTTTAGAAATAAAATAAGAATAACAGAATACATTAAACTCGGACGTTTAAAAAACGGTTATTGTGCAATTAACAGTCCCCAGTTTTTACCACAATCTTAGGGATAGTAGCAGGTTTCTCGAAGCCGTTAATAAAAAGCCAGTTTCGAAAAAAACGACACTAGATTTTTAAATTCAAACGGCTTTCATAAAAAATCACCTCTCTACGTGGTACAAACCGATAACCATATGTGGACGGTAATACCCTAGCACCTGTGTTGTTTATAAGAGAGTGCATCGATTGTATAAAAAGGCGACCAAAAAAGTAGCGGTTTTTGTGAGGCGCGAGGCGGTGCAGCTGCCCCGCCAACTGTCACAGGGCCCGCTACGCGGATTTGTGCCATGGATTATCATGCGCCGCATACTTAACGACTAACCACCCGACTAATAGCCGTACACCATATTTTCCCGTTCATCCTGCGAACAGTAACGATGATAATAATCCATTGTTTCCTCTGATTCAGAAAGTACTACTTCATAAGCATATTCTCTGCTTTTTCTTTAGTACTTTCTTTTTTTTGTAACTAAGTACATCTGAAGTTTTAGAAAGCTTTCTACATAACTTATGGATTGTGAAATCCTTCAAACAATATCAAACATTCCTAATCTGGTGCTGTGTAGATTAAACAATGTTAGTAACGATATTATTCTATTGCATACCAAAAACACTTGATTAAATAAATCAAAAACTAAGTTACACCGAGTTCTTTGTTATAAATCTTTTGTCTCACAATATAATAAAACATTGTTTGCTGTTCGTGCTCCGCATGAAACTTAAATACTAATTATGTTTTTCGAAAGGAATTTAAATTTATAGAAAGCTCGAAGTAAGTAAGCACCGTCCATGAATTGTATGCTGAAAATTAGTTTCAGTTAACTTTCATGCTTTTATTGAAGCAAAAGATAAGCTAAATCTGATTTCGGGAAATTAACAACAATATGAAGTATATCGAGTTATCTACACCCTATGAAAACAATCCACGTCACATTGTAACAAAAATCAATAGAATGACATAATTGTATCATGGTTTCCATATTTAATTCCGTTCAAAGTATTTATTATTTAATAAGTCGTTCTCGTGAAAAATAGCCGCGGGTAATAACTGGTTAATAAACGCTAATTACTAGGCAAAGAAAAAAAAATTCATAGCCGATGCTAGATGGGAAATCAAAGAAAAGTGTAGAAAGGGGTAGAGCCCTGTTATTAGTTTATTACTAGCTGTCACCGTCCGACTGAACGTGATGGACGCTGTCCGCGCCATGTTTATAATTATATCTAGTGTCGCACTTGGCTATACTTCACCCGATTTCTTGGCAATTGTTGGGGTCAAATGATACAGAATTGCAATACACGACACGTCAGTCAAAGGGAGCTATTAAGGGTTATTATCATCAAAGAGTGGCAGGCGCCGGGTATCTAATAAATACGGCTTTATTAGAGGGTTGTAATAGTACGATATAATAACTTCATGCTGGTTTGTCTGTCTAGTGCAAGCAATGCGGGAAGTGCTTCAAGCGGTCGAGCACGCTGTCAACTCACCTGCTGATCCACTCGGACACTCGGCCTTACCCCTGTCAGTACTGCGGCAAGCGGTTCCACCAGAAGTCCGACATGAAGAAGCATACCTACATACATACAGGTTTGTAATTACATGTTTAATCATATACACTAATTCTGCTCTTTGTGACACGACAAAGTACTAGTACCCACCAGGTATTTAATATACAGAGGGCGTCTTTGTATTAATATGTTCTAAAATATTTAAAACGTAACTATTATAATTATAGTAAATCGAATCTCCCGAAGTTCCTTTAATCTTTCAATAGTGAGTTTTCCATTAAACACTTCAAGTGAGAAACTGAAAAGCAATGTTTTAAATTAAATAAAATGTATTAAAATCATTGACTTCAACACAAATTAAAGCTGATAAGTGTACATACATACGTGTGTTTATACAAATAAAGTAGGTAGTTGCGCATATGCTGCATTTTCCAACTGCGCAAAACATTTTTGTTTAAATGTATTCAAGGACTTTAAGTAGGTATAAGTATTTTCGTTTTTTGGCTTTAAAAATACTCGCCGTGTGAGGAGACCTACAATTGAAGAGATAGTGCCTTCGGTGAACTGATAACTGTAGGAATGTATTTATAGATAGAATACTAGTTTATAGTTGTATGACCTCAATAAGTAGGGTTTTGATAAACCTTAACACAAACAACTTAAGACGTTTTATTACAGTTTTGTTACACTTAACTTTTACTACTACTTAGTAATATATAATACTAGCTTTAACCCAGGGCTTGGCGCGCATATTCTTGTTTTATCCCACGGGAGCATTTAATCGGGATAAAAATCACCTAAGTCAGCCCATACCCTGTCTGTATACCAAATCTCATCAAAATCCGTGCAGTAGTTTCAAACGTGATTGACGGATAAACATCCAAATAAAGACATTTTTACATTTATAATATTAGAGTGATCGAACCCATTTTCTAAGGGGAATTTTTTACTGCACCGCTATTTAAAAATTTAAGCAAACCGAATTTCTCCACTAATAACCTACTGTGACATGAGCAGCGCCCGAGCGGGCCGCCGCATCAGGTTCGGCGCCCACACAGGGGCGCCGTAGAGGGCCATGGACGGCACGACCCCGGCATGGGTTAGGTTAAGATTTTGTTGCACTCGAAGAATTATTAGATTTACTTTTAGTTAAAAGATTGTCATTCAGTAAAACAGTTATGCTTTAAAGATCTTACAGTATAGTATAATTAATTTATTTGTTGACCAAATTCAGTGTGCAATTCAGTATTTTAGGTGGTAATTTCGAAAAAAGGGAATTTACAGTTAAAGTATTAAATACCACCCATTTTCTAATACAAAGTCTCAGATATTAAAAATACCGTTTTAAAACACGATTCATTAAACAAATAATAATAACAAGAAAGGTAGTATTTAAAGTACCTAACTATTTAAAACAATAATCTTCCTACAGTCGGGTAAAAATATAGAAGACATTCTTATAAAGTGACGACACAAATCTAAGGTGTGTTTTAACGTTAACACTTTGTTGTTGGGACAGGCAGTAAATTATATGCCTTGTTCCAAGTAGTGTGAAACTCAAATTATTATGACAACTGTTTCACGTAACTCGTCAACTCAAGTGTCAGCTCGGCCCTTCATTACACAACTTTACGCAGCCCTATCATTTTGTTTGAAACTTTTATTGCTACCTTGATATCGTTATTGTTTCGATAACACGACTTTAAATATCTCGCTTTTCTAACAAACTTGACAATATTATTTCGTTCGATGAAGGGTGATGAAGCAAACAAAGCAAATTGCTTCTGATTTCTGGAAATTTCACTCTTTATGTTAACATGCAGGACTTTTTTGCAATGAAAAATCTATACTAAGTATGCATACTACATAGCCTTATTTTAATTAAGTAATTTTAAACTAAAGAAAATTAAAACTTACCTTTTCTTCTAGGTAGAAGAAAAGGTAAGTTTTAATTTAGCTATAGGTATAGCTTACGCTGGAAACAATTTAATCTAATTCTACGGTAGGTAATCTATTTAAAAGATTATGATTAAAATTCATAACTTTCTTTATTGACTTAAAAGTAGGGCGAAATGACTATAAAGCTAACCTATCTAAGAACATCTGCTTGTAGTACCTGTTTGCCTCAATCTCTAAAGAAGATATGTCCGAAGACATGAAATAAGGCTTTAATAAAAGGTGTTCATTGCCAGGATACCGTCTAAGATAGTTAAACGACGTAAAAATTTATAATGTGTTGTAGCGATAAGAAATCCGATATAATTATTTAATTCTTCACCGTCATAATTTCAATCGTTGTCCTTTATAAGAATTTGTACCATTACCAAGTAGCTGCTAATTTATTTATTCACATAAAATTTTACTTTCTCAATTAGTCGCCTGCGATATCCACGTACGTTCGTGTCCACCGTGTAATGATAGGTAATCTCCGACGATTGCCCTTTTAATCGGAATGACAGTAAACAGCTGCTGAAGACGTTATCCGACTTTATCCTCGTCGATTTATTAAGCTGTATAAGTGCATGATATAGTGTTATAACCGCGGTATAGCCTAGACTTCTCTACTGGAACAAGTTCATTAAATGGAAAACATATAGGCAGAGGCACAATAAAAGCAATCACGCGCCACATCGCAGGCGATGCCTTCGGAATTAAATATTTAAATGCTCCGCAATTACGTTTTCGACGGCAAATCGCAGCCCTTCCATTGCACTTAATGAATTTCCAATAAGCAAAAATATACTATGCAAAGCAACTTTACTTAACAGTGTGGATTAATACAGTTAAGAAAAATATTACGTTTTACATTTAAATTAATATCAAGAGAACATCTTTCAATGAAACTAGCTAACACAATGAATATAGGTAGGTATCATTTAAAAAACAGTCAACTTGTAAGAAAAATAAATATCGTATTTGTTTTTCAATGGCCCGACTACTTCCAGTAAGCTCAACGAGACGAATTATAGTAGCTAAAAATGTGGCGGACATATTTGTCTTGGCCGGAGACATCTCGTCACGTCTCTGCCCTGTTCCGAATGATTTACAGCGGCCTTACATGGTGCTCGTCCTCCCGATAAATGCCTCATCATCAATATTCCAAAATGCGGCTCGGCCTGCAATTAGCCGCGCAGCCTTCACAGCCCTTCACGTGCGCGCCGATCGCGGTACACACAAAAAGTAAACTTAAATCCTGTTCTATCTATAAAATGACATTTGCATTTTTTGCTATAATTTTGTTCGGAAACTATCTTTGGAGATTTTAAGTAAATGTCCAGTTTATCGTCAACATTGAAATGTGATTCAGTAGTTCAACACACAAATAAATAATGCTAAATAATGGGGATCCTTGTGTCCTCATACCCACAGAATAATAAAGTTTTACGAAACTGGTTAGTGTTATATCGTTATATCGAGCTACAAACAATTATCGTTCAAGTTAATAAATACCGGTGTACAAGGCGACGTTGCATATTAAATCAGTTCGGAAACCTCGCCGTTAATAATAAATAACCGATGATTATGACGACTATTGGTCCACTTAAACAAGCTTTAATTACTTCACGAAGTGATACGTAATGTTTTTAAGTCATTTATAAATTAGAAATTGGACTTTTCTAACGATTCCAATATCGTGGACACCTAGAAGTACCTATGCAGGGCTAGTTAAAAATATTACTTGCCTGTACGTAGGTGCCTGTAGGTAGAGGTGTAGACCTCTTATGAAAATTGTCATTCCAAAACAAATGAAACACCAATTTTTTCGAGTTTTTCACAAAAATATTTTTATTTGTTACAGGTGAGAAACCGCACAAGTGTGTAGTGTGCTCAAAGGCGTTCAGTCAGAGCTCTAATTTGATCACCCATATGCGCAAGCACACTGGCTACAAGCCATTCTCGTGCGGGCTGTGTGATAAGGCCTTTCAGCGCAAGGTAGACTTGCGTCGCCACCGCGACTCCCAGCACTCTGACGTGGCCGAACCCTCCACCACTCTGCAGATCCCGCACCGCTACAGGTATTACGGAGACGAATCACCAGCACCCCTCACACCCCTTGTCACCAACTAAAATTGTCTTGGATCCAGCACATTATTTTAATCTCTGAAATTAATATCTGTCAATTACGATGCGATGTTGTGAAACAAAACTTATTTTGAAAGTATCACAGTGCAAATTAGTTATCAGACTTAGGTATCAGTTCGCTAGCAGCATAATAAAATGTTAACGAAAGTCAAAATAAGTAATATCCAAAAAAATGTTGCGAGGAAGACTTATTGCGTTACATAATCGGAAGGTTGTATCATACGAGTTGTCTATGTATTGTGTAAATAATTCTAATTGTTACCTTTTAGTGCCTTAAGTAGAACTTGAACAATGTGGTGTTACTTATTACCCAGGTTCTAAATCGAACTTCTTGTTATGTAGCTCGATAGATGTGTATATTTTTAGTATAAAACACTATTATGTCCGTCCCCTGACACAGTGATATAAACATAGAGAATGGAACAGTTTGTTCATCAACTGTTTGACAGCAACCAGGTAATCAGTAAGTAAGTAATATGTAGTCTATTAATACCAAAGTAAAGTGTCTTATTTAGTCGAGTGTGAAACGCTTTATTTATTTAGACTAGAACTAAATAGGCGTCGTATATCTTAGTATATTTATTCCGTATAGTTGGCAGCCAATATTCCTTTATGTATTACATTTATGTAGAACTAATGCCACATCTTGGCCTCGAATTGTTAAGTACACTTGTGTCATTTTGTTAGTTACATTAATCAAAACGCTTAATGTCGTTCGTGTAGTATAAAATATATTTTTTCATAAATATAGGTATCCTAATTATATGTTTAGCAAGTGTTAAATGATTAGTCCTTTGAAAACATTATTTATAAAATCTCAAGTGATGTACCGGTTTACCACAGGAGAAATTCACGTGTTACCACATATATTTGGTCTGTTACCACAAAACTTTCTTTGGAGAAAAGTGTACCCTAAGTATTTAAGCCATCTTATCGATATGCGACCATTGTTAATATTATATTATAGTCGGAATATAGCTTAAAAATATCGTATAAGATGGCTACACGGCACCATTATAATTATGTCACCATTTTAGGTAAACGAATGCAATTATTAATGTATACTTTTTCATAATGCATTTACTTTAGATATAAGTTGTGTTCTATAGATATTGAAAAATATAGACGTAGTTCATTAGAGGCTATACCTAATTTCTTGTATGAGACTGCACTAAAAACTAAACTGAAACATTATTTTTCGATTGTGAATTAAAAGCGGTTAATAAGTGTTTTGTATCAATGTAATTGAAGTGTGAAATTATATATTATTGTAAAAATGAGACGTACCTTATTATATTTAGATAGGTATAGCTATACAGTCGCGTGTTTTCATATGTAAAAGTGACGTTGTTACGTGAAGACTTAACGGCTAGAACACCAAAGAGAGAGTACAGCGGTCAGCAACGAATGGCAACGATTGATTCGTCCATACTTTACGACTTGGAATGTGACTGAAAAATATGAACAACATTATTGAGGCGTTTAGAATAAGCACCCCTTTACCCTTGTATAATATTAAAATACCAAATTTTCACGGTAAAGCATTACGGTTAAACCGTCAATCTAATCTTCAATGTTTTGGACACGTTATTATAGAAAATTATTAAATTATCAATACCCATTTCATTGAAAGTGGTATCGTCAGTCATTTGATAAGTTTGAGTTTAAGTTGTAATTTATTAAGGCCAGTTCAATATAAATATTTATGAAATATCTTTGATGTATTATTTAGCAACACACACCTATGTAGCTGCAGCCCGCAGATGCAACTTGCAAAGTACTAGGCGCTACTTGCATTAAATACAAAACTTAACTGCAGAAACATTTAATATATTTGCTCATTCCGAAGTCTCGACAAATATAATACAGATACCTAAGTAGATATACATATTGCATACAATATGTTACAAATAGAGCCTTTTTTAGAAAAAAATACTCAATATACCTACCAATAATATATAACTTAGGGTTTGTGTAATGGTACCCAGTACCCACTATTACACAAATGTAGAAACAAAATATTTCCAAAATTGAAAGTAACTACTACTTATATTAAATGTATTTACGTTCTCTCAAATCACGCACCTTTCTAAGGACAAATAAACAACATAGCTAAGTATCATTCACGGGCTCCGAATTCCTCAAGGGACTAGATAGAAAACGTACTAATCTAGCTTATCCGATAAGTAGATTAAGAAATCACTATATAGGTTAAGCCGTAAGTACTTATACATAGGCATTTAAATGTTTAATTTCAAATTGAAAATGATTAATGCTTTTGTAGGTTTTTCACACTACATTTTTACATATCCCAATATAAAATTAGTTAAATCTTACTAATATAAATGCGACAGTTTGTGAGGAGTGTGTGTGTGTGTGTGTGTGTGTTTTGTTACTCTTTCACGTCAAAACAGCTGAAGAGATCGAGATGAAATTTGAAACAGATGTAGATTATGGGCTAGAATAACACATAGGCCATTTTATATCCCACAGAACGCGGGTGAAGCCGCTGGCAGTAGCTAAATGAAGTATGTAAGTCGTTAAATAATAAAAAAGTCCTCGAAAAAGGTATCATGCCAACGTTAGTATCAAAGTATCCAAATTAAATCAACAATCAACTGAAAGATATCGACGCCGGCACTAGACGTCGCCACTTAAACAAACAATTACGGGATATGAAATGAACATTGCGTACACACGAACTAACATAAGTCATTCGGAATTAATCGTGTTTATCAAAGCATTTTCATTTCAAGAGGTAATGTAACAACCAAGGAAATCAAAATAACGAGTGTCGCGTGATAGTTATCAATTCTGTTGTAGATATTGTATGTGGCACTAAAAGAATTTTGTAATTTCGTCGACTCAATTATTTTAATAGCTTTATTAATCGAATGACATTGTCTAGAGAAGATATTTGTAAACATGCTCGTGAAAGTATGAATGAGTTGATGTGTGCTTTATTTTTTTTATGTTTAACGGTATAATGGGGTGAATAGGGATCGAGATGTGAATAGGGACAGAAGAAGGGTGTATCGATACTATGAAGAATTTCCCAATATCTATTCACCCCTCTTCTGTCTTTATTCACCCCTTGATTCCTATCCACCCAATTTTACGGTACTTAATTTACAATGTCTATGAAAACAATATTTAAGTAAATATAGTTTTGTAGATCTAAGGTAGGTAAGTACCGTAAAATGGGGTGGATAGGGATCGAGAGGTGAATAGAGACAGAAGAGGGGTGAATAGATATTGGGAAATTGTTCATAGTATCGATTCACCCCTCTTCTGTTCCTATTCACCTCTCGATCCCTATCCACCCCATTTTACCGTTATGTCACGGAGAACCTAACAGGATACCGGGGCTCCGGCTCGAACCGCAGGAGAAGGAACGGGGTGGTTTTTAGTCAGTAAGAGTCTGACACTCCCTCCCGCCTCACCCGGCGGGAGCAGTCATTCGATGATTTTCCCCCCTTATAAAAAAGGTAGGTAAGTGTGTGTATAAGTAGTAGTTATTAGCTAAGTGAGTGAGTTAGCGAGATGAATTTCCACCAACAAGCAAGGTCGATCCAGCAACTTATTTAGTTTCATAATTAAAAATTTTATTGGACTTATTATGACCCAATTTTAGGTTCTACGCTGGACAGGACTTTTACTAACTCAATGTTAAAATTATTTTTGTTTTCACTTTACGTAGACTTAAAGAAATGCAAACACACTCAAATTCTCTCATATATCTTAAATGAAAGATTAAACTATCTATTTTGAAAATAAAATAAAGTTTTCTATGTCCTTTTGCGATTTTAGGAGTTGCATAGCCTCTACGACGGCATAATATTCCGTCGTAGCACAGTCTACGAAACATAGGTACCTACCTAACTATTTTTTTTAAATGTAACTTGAGTGATTAAGTGCTCTTTCTCAAAACTGAATTCCTTTGAAATTTCAACTCATACTATTTATCAGCGTGATCTAATATTTCAATTATACCAATAAATTATAACCATTTAAATTAATGTGGAACACCTAATCACGTGAGGAGGTTGGTATAACGTTTTATAAGGCCAGCAACGTACATTTTTAATTCCTACGGTGTTGACAATCCCATAAAAAATTAAGACACCATGCAGTTATTACAATAAATATTATACAATTATACAATATTAGGTTCTATGATATTCTGTCAAAAGCCTTGCTGAAATCCATATGCCTATATGAAGCAGCCTATAATAATAGATTCCTGGCATTGATATACCTATACAATATACAAGCTATAGATATACAACATAACATAACATCACGCCTTTTAGCCCCGAAGGGGTAGGCAGAGGTGCACATTATGCCACAACAATGTACCACCCATTTTTGTTATGAGTCCCATGTAATAGGGGGTGAGCCTATTGCCATATACCGGGCACATTTCCAGACTCTGTACTACTACTGAGGTTTTTTGCAACCCAGTACTACTTTGCCCGACCCGGGAATCGAATCCCCTTGCCCGACAGTCGCACTTGCGACCACACAGCAATGAGGCAGTCATAGCAGGCTGTAGATATACCTACCCACATATACTATATACTATAATTATGTATATTAGTTATCGGTGTCAACCCTTCGATATCTACTTAGCAACAAATCTCATTACGGCAGTTCCAATGCACAAGCTGCGCCTTGTATGGATTCTTACTTACTGCCTATAAATTGTATTATAAAATCGTAATAGTGTAGTGTAAAGGGGTTGTGTTCTACAAAGGAGCTAATGCCTCATATTTGTGATGTACGGCTTCTGTGGGCGGCGTACATAAACATGGGGGACAGCACCAAATATTTATCGGATTTTTATGTAAAACACATTATGTATTTGTGTATGTTAGTACGCATATTAGTTATTTACTTAAAACTCTTTCGTGAATAGGACATAAATTAATTTATTTTATTTTCAGTTAATTATAATGTTAAGGTATTTTCTCTCCATTATTCAT